TTACTTGGAAAACTCTTAGCTCACGGGATTAAAAATCACAACTTACACTCGTAAGATTTCAACTTCACTAACCGAACAACTTTAGATTACAACCTATTGTAACCTAGGAATTAAATTCTTAATCCCTCACCTACTTCCAATAACTATATTGCAAGCCTCTTTATAATAACTCTATTACAAAGCTAACCACTTTGACTAACTCTAGTCAAACACAAACACACGATTTATGATATACAAAGGTATCCTATGAAATGCTTCTAAATAAGATGAGTAAGAGTTTACAAGTTAATAACATTAACAAAGATACAAAAATACTAAGCACACACAATGTACTCAATGCTGGTTTCTGGTCCTTCGTTCTATTGCTACTTTGTTCTTCAATGCCTTGGAGTAAATGAAGGCAGCTGAACACTTGAGAGTAAATTATGTTTTAGGGTTTGCAAGTGTATCTAATCCATTGCCTCATATTGCTAAAATATAAGTGAGGTCACTAGAATGATGCAAGAAAGTGTCCGGTACACAGCATGCTTCAACAGTGATCGCTACACTATTGCATCTGCAGTACAGCAGCTTTAACAACTGTAAAGAGTTAACTTGTACTATGATCGGATGAACTGATAGCCATCTGTTTCCTCTGCCATTCCCTTAACTGATTTCATTGGAACTTGTGCCAGCCATGTGACTTGTTGTTATGAGCACGAAGAGGCTTTGTATTAGATTTCCTATCTGGTTCTCATATAAAGTTTGTTAAATCATCAAAATAAAACGGCACATAACTTATCAATTTCCCCCTTGTTGATAATGACAAACTTAGAATTGAAGTTCTCCCTCAGAACCAGATCTCCATATTTTCTCCCCTGCAGATTAGCCTTATTCCCTCTGAGAACTCGTTTCTCCCCTTCAATTTTCTTTTTGTTAACCTAATAATTGCTCAATTTTGACACAAAAAAATAAGAACAACCCCACTGAAAAAGTCCACCAAGCTTTCCTGCAGTTAGTGACCTAAATTTCAAAAGAAAGGAAAACGGCGTAGAACTCTTTATACAAAGGCATTTTCGCACTAATTTGTATGTTCCAAAAGTGATCAACAATGTTATACTCCGGCTTTGTTTGACCAAATACGGAGTTTAGAAAAGAATAAATCTTTCTTAAAATTTGTCTAAGATAAGTCGTAGTTTAATTTTTCTAAATATACAAAATATCATTCGTTTGGGATGTACTAAAAAGAATACTGTGGCACGTAAATTGGAAATGAAGGAGTTCTATCTTTCCATTCAAATCAACAAGACCTCGTGATTTTACATAAAGGTAGAGGTGAACCATGTATTTTTCTTTTTGGAAAATTCCCAGAGAAATCCGCAGTCGCTACTCTTCGGGTACACACTCGGTAACCTGCTCAATGTGCAATAGCTCGCAAACCACACAGAAGATATAAACCATACTAGGCAATCCCGATGCGACGAGCTCTGACTAAGGAGCTCTGGCTGGAAAGTGAGTATGATCCCAGGTGTCCCACGTGGGAGTTGAACCATGTTTGATCGAACAAATTCTCACTTTTATTTTTCTTTCTTGATGATAACTGTTACCCTATTGGGACCACACTCACTTTCCAGCCAAATGTGCTAATGATCATTTTCGAATTTCTTTGCAGTTAGTTTGGGTTTAATTTCTGATTCCTTTTTGGTTTCGGTTTTGTATCCAATTACAAGAAGGTTTGTTTTAAACTTTTATTTGTTGTTTTTGGTGTAGGAGCGATGTCAGAAGAGAGAGGAAGAGATCCTTGTTTACCGTAAAATCTTTTTGTGACCATCTTAGCTTGAAATTGCATTTTTGTTAGTTTGAGTGCCTTCCTAAATTACTAAAGAACTTGGTTCTTTATCTTACTCCTTAAGCGTAAATAGAATAAGCAGCAAAAACAAGGACAACAATTTTTTGCGTGGAAAATCACTCGGTTCAAAGTTGCAAAAATCACGATCTACCACGTAGGATTTTAACTTCAACTTCACTAGAACAAATGAGCCAAATGTACTGATTACAAGACTTGTAAATCAATACCCCCAGAATTCTCCTACTTCAACTATTTGAATGAATTACAAGTTACTCTAACTTGCACACTCAAACACTTACTCTAACTAACAGATTATGAATGACATCTTGATTACAACTAGATTTCCTAATACATATAATCTAACAGATTGAAGAAGAACACTAAGACTAGTAATCGACTTGAGTGTTGAGAATGTTTTTCCACAGCTCACGTGCAAAAGGATGATGTCCTTAGTCCATCAGGAAAATATTTAACTTCCTAGTACTCTAAGATCTTTGGGAGTCCTATGCACATTCAACTTCTTATTTGATAGGACTCCTAAAGCTTCAGTTGATAACCCGATAGGTTATTTTGAGTTTTATCCTTTCTTTCTATATTCTGAGACCTCGACTAGCTCCGTTTAGTATTTCTCAATTTACGTGCGTTGTCCGTGTCTTGTTCCGAAAAGTTTTATGTGGAAAATCTAAGAAAATGTAAAACTTTGCCTTAAAACTAATTTGAGTTAACTACGATCAACATTTTATATAAATGAATTCGGATCTATATTTTGACGGTGTCAGTGGGTCCGTATCGTATTTTGGGACTTAGGCGTATGCCCAGAATCGAATTCGCAACTCCCTACCTTGATTTACCATAATTTGTTGAAAACTAGTAATTTGAAGGCTAAAAGAATTTCTAAGTTTGATCATAGGTTGACTTTGTTACTACCGGGTTCGGATCCAGTTCCGGAACTTGATATAGGTCCATTTCACTATTTATGACTTGTCTGCAAAATTTGGTTCAAAACAGAGTTGATTTGCACTATTCAGACGTCCAGTTGTAAATTTGCATGTTCTTGAGTTTCTTTGAAAATATCATTCATTTTGATGTCTGATTCGTAGTTCTAGGCATAATTTTGGTGTTATGATCATGTAAGCAAGTTCGTATGATGTTATTACACCTATTTACATATTTGGTTTGGAGCCCGAGAGACTCAGGTGAGTTTTAGATAGGCTGCAGATCGATTTTAGACTTAGGCAATTGCTGGTTTATGAGATTTCTGATATCTGGGGCGCTGTGCTTCGTGATCGCGAAGGGGAACTTGGGGCTGGGGTGGTTTTCTACGTGAACGCGGGGACCGGTCACGAACGCGAAGCATTGGGGGGCTTACCCTTCGCGAACGCGACCACCCTCTCACGAACGCGAAGGTTTATGCGATTCTGGGGGGAGTTGGCCAGTAACTCTAAACGAACGCGAGCCCAGACTTGCGAACGCGAAGGCCAGGAGGGAGAGGCAATCACGAACGCGTAGCGTTTCTCGCGAACGCGAATGCCACTTGGGCCGCTGCCCTTTGCAATCGCGTCAGGCCCTTCACGAACGCGAAGAAGGCCTGACGCCTAGTGACTTAAATGTTCCAAAGACAGACTTCCTTTCATTTTTCACCATCTTCCGTTGGAGCTCGGCCTAGAAGCGATTTTGAAGAAGAAAGTCATCCCCACTTCGTAGGTTAGTATACTTTAACTCGTTTTCTTCCATTTTCATCAACACCCATTGACTTTTAACCTTAATTTATGCTCTTTCATGGTAGAAAATTAGGGATTTGGGTAGAATTGAGGTTTTAATATAAAATTGTGATTTATACCTCAAATTGAGGCCGGGTTTCGAAACTAATGACATAATCGGAGTGGGGGTGAATGGATAATTGAGCTTTGGTCAGAATCTCGGATTTTGACCAAGCGGGCTCGGGGTTGACTTTTATTAACTTTTTGGAAAATGTGTAAAGATCTTTGCTTTATCTATTGTAATTAATTTTTCTAGCATTGTTTGATGATATTGAGTCGATTTTGATTAGATTCGATTGGTTTGGAAATGAATTTTAGAGAAAAGGCCCTAGTTGAGCTTTGATTTGATTGCGGAACGAGGTAAGTGTTGGGTCTAACCTTGATTTGAGGGAATTAGGAACCCTTGAATTATATGTTATGTGAATTACGTATGTAACGGCATATATGCGAGGTGACGAGTGTATATACGCCGTCAAAATAATTGTTTCCATGCTTTCTCCTATTTCATGAATTATCTTATATCATGTCTTAACTGTTACATGCTTTAATTGTTTTCCATGTCGTAACTTGTTACTTGTCATTAATTATTCTTGTATTGAAATATTCGTTCCTTCCATGACTCCATGATTAATTGCTATTTGCCTTAATTGTCTTACTTGTACACTTTAACTGTTACATAATTAGCTTGTTTTGTTGCTCTTGTATTATTTGTAGCCTTCCTTTGATTAGTACGTGGTTCCTTTATTGTTTTGCTTTCATAATCCTTAATCGTAGAGATTCTTATAAATTGAGTTGTTGGGTTGATTTCATTTATTGAATTTGTTTATGGATCGGGTTGCACGCCGCAACGGTTGTGATATAGTGAAATAAGGGAGGAACTTGATATTGATATGGTGGATTGGGTTGCGCGCTGTAACAGTTGTGTACGTATACTTGATATTGATAAACTGTGATATGGTAAAATAAGGGAGGATTATGATATTGATTCTGATTATATGGTAGGATCAGGTTGCGCGCCACAACGGATTTTATATGTGACTCTTGAAATTGACATGGTGAAATAAGGGAGGATTATGTGTTGTACGGTGGGATCGGGTTGCGTGTCGCAACGAATTGTGTGTGTTGTATTCAGTTGTATTCATTGTTATTATTGTGTTGATTTTCAGTGTTGTTACATAAAATTATGAGATCGATTATCCCGGATTCTCTTATTACAAGGATTGAGTTCTTTTTCATAAGTTAACTGCCTTACTTTTCCTATTTTCCTTTCCTATTATTATTATTATACTGTGTACAGGTTATTGTAAGTGACCCGCCTTAGTCTCGTCACTATTTCATCGAGGTTAGGCTCGGCACTTACAGAGTACATGGGGTCAGTTGTACTCATACTACACTCTGCACTTCTTGTGCAGACTTTGGAGTCGGTCCTAACGACGGCTAGTAGATTGCTCTGATCCGATGCTTGACGGAGACTTGAGGTACAGTTGCACGGCGTTCGCAGCCCTGAAGTCCCCTTCTACATTACTCTAGTTGTTTATTTCATTTCAGACAGTTATGCTTTCATTCAGACTATTATTTGTAGTGCTCTAGTCACTCGTATATTTGTGACACTAGTTGTGGGATTATATCTAGATATCGCTGTTATTTTAGTTTAAACAGTCTATTTCAGTTTATTGGTTTTCATTTAAATTGAATTGTTAAAAATGGCTAATAACTATATCTAACGTTGGCAAGTGAAATATTAGGCGCCATCATGGTCCCGAGGGTGAGAATTCTGGGTCGTGACATTCAGGGACTCCACGAATCTCGTGACTCTTATCTATCACTTATGCGAGCATATATTCTTGGACAAAGAAATTATTACATTAACAACCTTCTTCCCGCAATCTCGGACCATAGTAACTTTATGCGAAAATTACTGCCTTGTAAGAATCTTCAACAACTATCTTGAGGACCTGGTTCTTAGCATACTTCAGCATCCACCTTGAGGAACTGCTTCTTAGCACGCGTTCACAACACCCTTTGTTAATCTCAAAACCCCAATTCACAACAATTTTCTAATTCGTCACTATTGGATCGAGATGAAATTTTTAATTGGAGTTTCTGACATCTTGTTCTTCAATTTGAAAAATGTAATCGTGCTTTATAGGTCTTTAGCTACATATTTTGAGCCAAAAACTGTAGCTCGTTTTTGGGTGGTCAAGTCTTTCTTATTTTTCACTTGTTTGTTGTTGCTTTTATTGATATCTGTCTCTGTTTACGTGGCACTAGTGTTGTGACCAATTTAGGGGACTTTTATAACGCTCTTTTGAAATAATGAAACTTCTATGGATTTGGGGGTCCTATAATTTGTGCTCTTTGCATAGAAAAAGTTTTCCACATAAAATTTGGTATCTCTGATTCTCTTGTTATATATATTTTGTTGTTGGAATTCCAAGCCTCTCACTTCATTTCTTGAAATGGTAGCGTGTGAGCTGTGTTTTCCTTGATCAAACTGAAACTAATAGCCCATTTACCTAACTTTATAGCGTTGTGTTAGTTGTAAAGCCAAGATCAAGATGGTTGTGTTTCATGTCTTCGTTGTGTAGAACCTAATACCTAATTAAGACTCAGGAACCCATGTGCCATTTTATTTGTGATTTGTCATAATGTCATTTTGTTGGCTCAGCGTTTTTGCAGGAATTTTTCGTAGAAACCATCAGAATTAATTTGATTATGGATGGACCAATTGTTTAGTTCTTACTTTTTGAGCTAAAAATCATTTGAGCATACAAAAAGTGACGTTAGATTCCATACAATTAGTTGAAAAGAAGATAAAAGAAAGGCAAGACTAACTTGAACTAACTAGGCCCGGGCTGAACTCAAAATACGAAAGAGCAATTGCTCAGTTGCATCAATTCAGAACAGTGGTCAATTGCTAAGACAACTAATACACAACGCGCAATTGGCCTTTGAAATTAAGCATAACTCTTGAGAGCAACAACTATCTCCACCTTCATTTTAACGTCAGATCTCAGGTATCCCTTATAGCCTTGCATCAATTCAAAATAGTGAAGAATAAACCATTAGTTGCTCAGTTTTTGGTTTCTACTTCTGCTGTGTTGCAGCTAAACGAACTTTTTTGGACTTAATCACTGCTAATTAAGATATTTCTGAAGTGTGTTAAACCTGGATCTGTCTAGATTGATTTGCGGAGATTATAGTGAGGCAGAGGTAGAAAAGCACAGCAAAATAGGAGAGCATGACACTATCTGTAACCTTGTGACAGAATTTTGAGACATGATCACAAATGGGCATCCATCCCGAATGGCTCTCTCCATATTTCCCCACATATCCAATTGCAGTGGCTGCTGCACATCCAGCTAGAAGCAGTGCCATCACAATCTGTCCTCACAATAAATTAATTCAAACATTCACATTACTGCTTCAAATTTATAGAAATGTATGGCTTAAATAAGAGTATCAGTTTAACTATTGTATATACTGATACGTGTAAACAAAATATTACACTACTATGTTGCCTAGAGATAATTATAAATAAATTGTATATAAAAAGTATGATTAATAACCTAAAAAAATAAGGAAGCTTACATATTAGCACCACATGTTAAATGTAAAAATAAATTAAATCCAAAGACTATGTGTTTCAAAGTTCTTAGGGGCCCAATAGAAAGAAACAAATAAAAAAGAAAAAGAAAAAGGTCATACATTCATACTAGCTAGCACCATTATACCACTTTTAGCTTCTAGCTCTCCCCTCAAAACTAATAACTCACTGCAACAATGCATGCATAATGCATTGTAAATGACGTCTAGGTTTAAGCCTCATAAGAAAAGAAACAAATCGAGAGACAGCAAATCATTTAATGCCAATATTGCGTGACGTTACAAGCTTGCAAGTAAAATATGGTTTTTCCAGACCCCCAAATGGACTTACATTTATCTTTGAGTCTGCATAAGTCCACATTTGTCAAGAATTTTTCCTAGATCTACTAACAATTAATAGTAATAAACACAATGAATATACTACTAGAAAGAAAGATGCATATTCAAGCTACCCTAGCAAATTGGACGTATCGTACCAAATCATGAAGGAACATGTAAAAGTAGTTCTTTGGGTCAAGACACTTGTGGCTTAATACAGAGGCAAGAAACAGGGACAAAACAGAGAAGGCACATCCAATGATATTTGCAATTACAAAGAACCTGCAGAGAACCAGACAAAACGAAATAAGCAGCAAAATCAGAAGATATATATTAAATCAAATTCAGAAATCTCAAGGAAAACCCCAAAGATTTGCTTTTTCATATTCTTTACTTGAAACTTGGAGAGTAGCTATATCGAGCATCCATCTCAAGTCCAAATACAGTGACAGTCTGCTTGCTGGTGAGAATAATCCAAGTGGATGCCAATGTGAATGCAGTTGCCAATATTCTCAGGAAAATTTGGGTCCTCAACAAACATTTGTAAGGTTTCAGTGGTGGGCTTTGCATATTTTTCTCCATTTTTGGGATCTAAAAATAGTAGAAGGGGTTAGAAGAAAAACAAGAATGGAATGAGGATGTACGTAGATGTTGGTGCTGATATTTATAGAGGGGAGAGATTATTCAAGCGAATGGATCACTTTAAAGACGGACAAAAAAGCTAAGGACGTTTGAAAACTGCTTCCTTATGATTTAAGAAAAAGATTAACAAAAATGCATTAATTCACGGGGGAAAATAAAAAGAAATAAGAAATGCATTATTTGGTAAATACTAGAGTAATTAAGTAAGGGTTACACTAGGATGAATATGATTTCTCCATATTTAATTAGAGGTCTTGAATTTGAGTTCTGGTAATGAAAAAATTTCTGGTAGAGAAAGTTTCTTTTTTTAATGGTCTTATGCGGCGCAAATTTAGTTAATCGGGTACCATACATTGGAGTGAAAACAAAAACAATTTAGTAGCAGGAAATGAGATTCTAATGGATTTTGGGTATAAGTTAGGACCCGTTAAATTTGTCATTACGGATCTCATGTTTGTTCGCTATATATTGGCCTTCTATTCTGGAATTAGTAATGACTGAGCATTGGTGAAATTAGCCTTCGATTTAGTGGCTGTCAATTTTACTTGTTTTGAGTAAGCATGACTTTGTCTTTACTGAAACAGTCCACTGCTCAGAAGATCACTATTCGAATCATAAATATAACAAGTTTGAATCTTTGTAATCCATAAGAGTTTCATTTTCATCCGAAGCTATTCTTCCCTGAAATCAAATTTGCCAATCAACAAGTAATTTGTGACAAATGGAGAGTTACACGTCCAATCTTTCAGAAATGTCAGATTTCAAACTAATTTTCATTAACAAAATTAGTAATGTTTTCTAACGCCAAAATTTGCAGAAAAGCATAATATGCCAAAATAATACTGCGTCAAACGTATAATATGCCAGAAAAGATACTTGGAAAAGCTCAACTTATAGAGAGAAGGGCAAAGAGTAAGTTCTACAATTATGGGGTGGATAAAATATCACAAGCTTACTGCTATTTAAAAATTTAAACAAAAAAATGTTAATGAGACATTTGATGGATACTAACCTGACTATTAAAAGAGAGCACTGGTGTTATGTTTTGTCACTTCTTTGTTCCTATGTGTTAGTGCCCTCTAACCACCTCTGTCACGAACCCAAATCTCACATTAAGGATCGTGATGGCACCTAGCCCAAACCTAACATATGCTGAGGATTAACAGAAAAAACTAATTTAAATGCAAAACATTAACTCATAACTGAAATAACATAGCTGAACCGAACAACAGTCATACAACCCCAAAACCGGTAGTACATACTCATAAGCTCTACTGAGTATACTAAATTCTATAAATACAATATTGTTCTGGAATGAAAATAAACAGTAGTAATGAAAGACAACAGAAGGTGACTCAGAGGCTTGCAAACGCAATAGCAGGTATACCTTGAAATCTCTGCAGCAAATCACAAATAGCTAACTAACGTCCGGCACGTTCTGAGGTACTTGGATCTACATAAAAATATGCAGAAACTTAGTATGAGGACACCACAGCGGTACCCAGTAAGTATCAAGACTAACCTTGGTGGAGTAGTGATGAGGTTAAAGTCAAGACACTTACTAATCAGATAACCTGTGCAGAATATCAATATAACGCTAACAACGGAAAAATAAGTAAATAAATGGCAACGAAGGATAATCATGTGATAAATCAGAAAAATAATCAAAACACAGATAAAATACATGTGATAGCAATTAAGAGATAACGACGACAATTCTACTTATCAAATCGTTATGACACATGAATTACAACAACAATCACCATGAGGTACCATACCTCAACTATCACAAATCACAAATCGTATACACATGGCACCTCGTGCCCACATTATCGATTACAACCGCACGGACAACTCACGTGCCAATAATATGAATAGATCGGACTCCGCACGAATAACTCATGTGCTGCATAGAATACTCACGTGCCAGTAGTAATAATATCTCATATGTGCACGGACGACTCACGTGCTAGTAGTAATAATATCTCATATCTGTATGGACAACTCACGTGCTACCAGTCCAATCCACACACAGAAGTCTGATATACAAGAATACATGCACATGATTAATGAACATCAAGAT